AATGAAAGCACCTAGATGGAAGAGATTTCATAGTTTATTATTTTCTCCAAAGACATTACTACTATAAACTGCTTTCCAGTGATGTCATGTTAAAAGGGGGAGAAATGGAGACAGACTTTGTTTGCACAGACTCTGATGAGTCCTCAAAGAAATATTTCCTATAAAGACAAAAAATTAGGGGAAACAAACAAGTTAGCCAGAACAATTCTCAGGTAGAACATCATCATGTCCAAAAGGTTAAACTATGTAACTGTTTCTGCTAATTACTCTCTTCTGAGTGATTACGCTCTGAGTAAATAGCAGAAACAGTTATATAGTTTAAGTTCAGGGGTTTAAAAAGTGATGATGTTTTCACTCCATCAACTTTAAATTCTTCAATATGGCACTGAAGGTCTCCCAACTACCACCCATCCTCTCATTGGCCAGCCAAACCAACCTAACTTTTCATTATTCATTTAGGTTATTAACCTTTTCAGAGCCGAAATCCCCTTTTAGACTCTGATGAAAGTTATGGACTGTCCCACTTGAAAAAGGCACATGCACATAACATTTTATATATAGTTTCAGGGTTCATAGATCCCCCTAAACCTAAGCCCGAGGTTAGGGAGCCCTGTTCTAGACAGACAGCTAGATCTCCTTCTAACCCAAAACAAAGTTCTTGATTTCTTTGTACATGACAGTATCTTTGCTTGGATCAACCTTTCCTTTCAACCAGCCCACATCCTTTTGGTCCCTTAAAATTTACAAGGAATTCTACCATATATCTCAACTGACGTGCTGTAGGACCTTGCCAGCTGTTTGTGACAGCACTTTATATCTGTCTCTTGTGGTCATTGGATATGTTCCTTACCAACCTTTTCATCTGTGCATGACTTAATTTCATCAATTAAACAGTATGTTCCTGGAAGGCAAGCACTAGATCCAGGCACTGTGAAGCTTCTCTTGCTCACCTCTGCAGCCTATGCACCCAGCATGAGGTCTAACACATAGCAAAAACTTAATCATACCACATTTGTTGAAATGGTAATCATACCACATTTGTTGAAATGGTATCTGCGGTGTTTGTTTTCTTTTTGAATTTCCCTCAGAGCCTAGCATAATGTTATATTAATACCAACTGCCCTAAAAATGCATACTACAAAAAAATACAACTGACTTTTTTTCTAGAAAACTTGCAACATTTTTTTCTATACATATATATATAGTCAATCTTTCTTTTTTCCTAATTGTAAAGTAAGATATGTTCAAGGTGAACTTAGGGATTAAAAAAATAAACAAAAAACCTCATATATAAAAAAAAAATACACTAGGAATCCCAATACCCGAAAATATAATCCCTGTTATTCTGAGGCAACGGAGGTTTTCTCTGTTTTTTTCCCTAGGCCCTGCATACACATATTGATAGTTTTTTAAAAGTCAAATAGATTTACACTATATATACAGTTCAGCAGTCTGCCTTTTTCATTTAGAAATGTACTGTTAACCTTTCCCTACATTGGGTAATACTTTTTCATCACATGATTTTGTAAAGGTTGTACAGTATTTCTCCTTATGAACATATTTGATTCAACTAACTAGTTTCCTATTATTTGACATTTAAGTGATTCAAATTCTTCACTATTATAAATAAGAACATCTCCATATAAATATTTCTATGGCTTCCTTGTGAATTATTCCTAGAAACAGCTGTAAAATACAAAGAGCTCCTACAGTGCGATTTTTTAAATCAAACTATTAGTAAAATTGGGCAAAGTATATGCCTCAGCAATTCACAAAAGAAAAAAATCTAAATGTCCAATTAAATTACACAGTAGATATACAGTATTCAGGGTAAGGAAACTGAAAAGGAAGAAAGAGAGCAGAGGATATGTTGGCAAGCAGTGAGCTACCTAACACTAAGAGGCAGGCTAGGCCAGTATTTGACAGCAGACGACAGGGCTCAAGTCACAGACCCATCCTTACCAGCTCTCTAACTTTGGGAAAGTTACTGAACTTTCTCAGCTTCAATATCCCCATCTGAAAATGAGGACCATAATAATACTCACCTAATAGGGCTGCTGTGGGGCTTATGACATGGCCCACATGAAAACACTGTGCATAGCATAGTATCTGGAACACACCAAGAGTGCAACACTATTACTTAGTCATACTTTTTTTTTCCAAGCCTATCTTTAGAATGCTATGCTGAACATGCTATGATGATTAAAACAATAACCTATGATGATGCTATGCTTAGCTCTCAGAAAGAAACCTAACAAGTAGTAAAGTTGATAACTTTATATGCTATCCAACAAATCCTTTTGTAGTTATGGAAATATCCTTTGATCTGCACTGTCCAATATGGTAGCCAGTGGTCATATGTGGCTTCTGACTACTTGAAATGTGGCTAACACAACTGAGGAGCTGGATTTTATTTTATTTCACCTTAATTAATTTAAAGTTAAATAGCTACACATGGTTAGTGACTACGATATTGGGCATCATGGTTCTAGAAGGCAATACAGGAGTATCTATATAATTTCAAAGCACATACATCCTTTGTCCCATTTTTGATAGTCACTCCATAGCAACAGAAATACCATGAGGTAGGGAGGAGTGATTAATATATTAAGACTACCAAAAAAATGTGCTGATAATCAAAAAGAGAACATGTAAATCCATTTATGCAAAAGTACATATGGCTGTTTACATATGGACAGAGAGATATGGAAGGATGCTCCCAAAACACTAATAGTATTACCTCTAATGATAGGACTGTCAGGTAATTTTTACATAATTTGTTAACCCTTTTTTATAGTTTGAATTTTTTATGACCATGAATTATTTACATAATCAGAAAAAGAAAACATTAAAATATTTTCACTTTGGGGGAAAAAAAGGGGGGGCATTAATGGATCAAAGGATAAGCTTACTTTTAAGGCCTTTTATATCTACCTAGCCAAATTGTCTCAATAAAAGGGTGTTCTAAATTCAGTTCCTCCCAACCAACAAACACCTCAAACATGCACATCCTTATTATCACCAAGCATTAAAATTGCTTTCACGTTTGCCAATTTAACAGGTGAAAAATTGTGTATCATTTTACTTTGAATTTCATTAATAGTGAAATTGTGTATTCATTCATTTGCTGGCTACTCGTCACTTCTTTTAGAAATATCATGTTCAGGTGAGGTGTGGTGACTCACACCTGTAATCCCAGCACTTTGGGAGGCTGAAGTGGGACGACTGCCTGGGCCCAGGAGTTCAAGACCAGCTTGGGCAACACAGAGAGACCCTGTCTAAACAAAAAAACACTTTTAAAAATAAAAGGAAATTTTAAAAAGAAATATATTCATATCCTTTGACCTTTTCAGTATTAGGGTATACATATTTCCTCTTACTTCAGAAAGTACTTAGATTTTATATAAATTCTATGTTACGGTTATTAAACCTGTCCTTTTCTATATGTCGCAAATATTTTCCTTCTCTGCGATTTCCTTTACTTTGTATCTTTTTTTTCTTTTTTGAGACAGGGTCTGGTTCTGTCTCCCAGGTTGGAGTACAGTGGCACAGTCATGGCTCACTAGAGCCTCAATCTCCAAGGCTGAAGCAATCCTCCTGCCTCAGCCTCCTGAGTAGCTGGGACTGCAGGCACATGCCACCATGCCCTACTAATTTTTAAATTTTTGTTTAGTAGTGACAGGGTCTCGCTATGTTGCCCAGGCTGTTCTTCAACTTTTGAGATCAAGAGATCCTCTTGCTTCTGCTTTCCAAAGTGTTGGGATTATAGGCATAAGCCACTGCATCTGGCCATGATACTTTGTATCTTATCTTTTTAAACATGTAGATGTTTTCAAATAATTTCTAGATCTCTCTGGCTTTGAAATTTTTCTCTCTTAATTGTATTATAAACACCTAGGGATGTGATTCCATAGTTTACCTCCTCCTACACAAGACTAAAGAGGCAGCTGCTTCTTGGGTTTTGGCATATACATGTTTCTTCAAGGTCTTAAAGGGAAAAAAGTACTTGTTAGGAGGACTACATGTCACTAGGCAATAGGAACTTTTCAGCTCCGTTATAATCCTATAGGACCACCGCTGTATATGTGGTCCTATAGATTATAACGGAGCTGAAAAGTGCTAGCGAGCTTCTTAACTGGGATAACAGTTTGTAAACGTATGTAAATGTATTTACTTGTGCTAGCCCAAGGTCAACCTAAAAGGTAACAAAAATGTTTAGCCCAGAAGTCTACATAGAGACTAGTGTTGTCTACCTCCATACCACCCTGAACGTCCCCCAATCTCGGACGCTGAGCAGGGTCAGGTCTGGTTAGTACTTGGATGGGACAATAGGGCTAAGGTGAGTAGATTTAAAGCTCCAGGATAACGACCTTTACCGACAGGTCATTATGTGGCACGTGGCTGTATGTACAGTTATTAAAATGTAAATATACATATTTGCAAACAAACTATTTTCCCAGTTAAGAAGCTCGCTAGCACACACCATTCTGTTGAAAGCCCCCTTTACTCCGCAGACCTGAAGGGAGTGAGGGAAGGACGTAAAAGGGCAGAGGAAAGAATGAATGAATGCGAGACACCGATTCTACAGGGATTTGTTTCCATACTGCTCTCTACCAGAAACGTTCTCAGTTTCCTTCCTTCTGCTGGACATGGTCCAGGGGCCAAAACCTCAAATAATGTGACTTTGTAGATTGGAGAGTGTGACCACAGAAAGGAAAGGGAGGCAGCACGTGCCAGCCAGCGACAGAATGCTAAGTCTGCAGCATACTCCACCCCAATGAAACAAATAATTTCTGTATTTCCTCCCTTTCCTTCGCCCAGAGTCACTGTGAGAATGGGCTACAGAAAGTTTCGAGGCAGTAAAGCCAGTAGTTCACCCAGAACATCTGACTGCCATAAAAATTATGGTGACGAGAAAGAACGTTTGCTCAAATGCCGTGGTTGGGGTGAGGGCTGGAGAAAGGTCCCAACCCGCAGCATTCACCTCCCGGGCTCCTCACCATGTGCATTGCCTCCTCCATCCACTTTTCGGTCTCTTCTGCCGACACCGAGCACGCGCCGCCTGCAGCTGACTTGGGCGCCGCCTTCGCCTCCATACCCGGCCACCACACAGCGCCAAAGGCCGCCGCGGAGGAGGAGCGCGGGCAGCGGAACGCGGCGGGCCCGGGCCCCCGTTTCCGGGGGAGTCGAATGGAAAGGCACTCGGGAGCGATTTCTGAACGGACCTGGGCGTGTCGGACCAGTGAGCAGCGGCGGCTGCTCCGCGGCAGCAGCAGAAAGCGCAGCTGCTTTGCTCTAGTCCACGCCCCCTTGCCGCTCCGGTGACAGTCTGCGGAAAGCCACGTTTGTGATTTTGGGAGAGCGCAGAGCGGGACGACGGCGCTCTTGCTTGGTCATCTGGGCCAGGTGACGAAGAAACAGTTTCCCGGTGAAGCAGCCCCTCACTCATAGTCAGCGCACACCCCTAGGGCCTAAAGATGCTGAGGTCCGTATGGAATTTTCTGAAACGCCACAAAAAGAAATGCATCTTCCTGGGCACGGTCCTTGGAGGTGGGTGACAACGTTCTTGAAAGGGGGCATTGGGAGAAGGGAGTGGGAGAGGTGACTTTTTCTAAAATAAGAACAGGCCGGGGCGAGCCTAGTCTGGGATCTGTAGAGGGGATTCGATCAACCATGGGATGGAAAGAGAGGTGGCCAACCTCAAGGATTCTCCCATCTCAGCAGTTGAGAAATGCCTCTGTGCCCTTTGCCCTGTCACCGCCTCTTAACTGTTTCTCACCTATCCTTTTTTCTCACGGACCTTTGGAGAATTCAGTACAGTTTAAGTTTCTGTTACAGGAACTTTTTAAAAAAAATTCTGCTTTCCTGTGAGATTCTTCATTTCTCCTTGGCACTCTTGGCGCTATGGCTCTCACCCTTCTCAGGAGTTTAATAATAATCTAGGGGAGGTGGTTTAATAATAAATGATAAATAAATAAAAATAAACTCTCAGGAGTTTAATAATAATCTAGGGGAGGGAGTTTAATAATAATCTAGGTGGTGGTTAAAGTCGATTTGAATTTTTGAAAACAGCGCAGTTGTCCTGAAGGACTGAAAGATATGGATTAGATAAAAACAAATCAATATTTTAGCTCTGTTTCTGCCATTTTAGAATACAAACTGTGGCAGTAAGAAAAATACTTGAGGGATATTGCGCAGTCTTCCTCAGGATCTTCAAGGTTGGGATCATTGTAATCTAACTGACATAGCTGAGTTGCACGGGCCCAGAGGAGATTTAGAAACAGATAAGATAAAAATCTTGAGACCCCTTTCCCTCATACAATGCTCATGTGATAATATTCAGGGATTTGAAGGAGGGAATAAAAAGCTTTGTGAATTATATGAAAAGAACATCTAGGAACTTTAAAAGAGGAAATTTGTTGTAACTTGAGTTTTTGAGAAATATTCTTATCACTTATTATGTGCTGTGTTTACAGAAGTACTTAAAATAAAGAACAGAGGTTCCCAAAGAATTTGGTTGGCTTTTCTCTTAGTATTAGATTGTATTCTGTTCTCCCCAAACAATTTGAAATTAACAATACATATTAGATTGTATTCTGTTCTCCCCAAACAATTTGAAATTAACAATACTTATTAGATTGTATTCTGTTCTCCCCAAACAATTTGCAATTAACAATACCTTTAGCATCAATAGTTCAGATTTTGGTGATGCTTCAAAGTTTGAAACAGAGTTCTTGTTGCTGAGCCAAGGATGGTGTTTGCATGCCTCTGACATCTATCACAGATCAATAATAAGCATGTAAATTTTGAACATCTTTGAGAAATCCTTTATATATAAAAGGTATTTTCTGATATCTTCATTCTCTAGTATCTAATGTATATTTAAATTATCCTAAGACTACCGAGTCCATTTTATTTATAAAAGCTAAAAATAGATGTGTGATTGAAGCAACACAAATAAAGTATTTTTGCCTTTACCGAAGGAAGGAAAATTATCTCTAACAATCTCAGAAGGAATACTCCTTCAGCTTATGGAACAACCTTGTGGTAAATTAGAAATAATCACAGGGGAAGCAAAAGAGTATACTTAAAAGAAATTTATAATTTAAAAAAAAAATCTAACAAGAGCCTTATAGTTACAGAATAAGAGGAATGCAAAAAAAGAAAAGTTCAGACGGACAGAAAGAGAAAATAATCCTAGTGTTTTATATCAATAAAGGAGTCAGTCTGAAAAGAAAGGAAGAGTAGATGACCATGGTTGGCATTTGTTTGAGCCTCGTATTCTTTCTGCTTCAGGGAGAAAGTTCTACAGTATGTTAGATTTTAATTAATCTGACTTAAGAAATATTTATCAAGTACCTGTAGTGCTGAAAGTAATATGTATGGAAATACAAGATTTATAGATTTTTAATAGTAACAGCTACTATTTATTGGGAGCCCACTTTACACTGAGCATTGTGCTAAGCTCTTCCTATTTAGGCAGTATGACAAGAAGGCAGTTATTATTATCCCCATTCAAAAATGTGGCAACAAGAGCCCTAAGAATTTAAGAAACTTGCCTCAGGTCTCAGAATTAGTGAAGGGAAACTGGAATTCAAACCCAGGTGTGTTGGACCCCAAAGCACATTCTTTTTCCACATTATATCGCTGTGCTTCCATGGTCTTTATGGTCTGATAGGAAGGAAAAGCAAGTATACATGTAATTAAGATACAGAAAAATAAGAGAGGTGAAAAAATGCTGTACGGATCACACTGGCAAGTAGCATATACAGTTGTGAAAAATCAGGAAGAATTTCATGGAAAAAGAGACACATTTTGACAGGCTCGAAAGCTGGACAGTATATCAACAGGCATGCTTAGAGAAGTTTGGCCATTCAATGGTGGGGGAAATAAGTAAGTAAAACCTTCAGTAGCAGGCCTTCTTAAGTAACAATTTCTGTTTCCTTGAATTTTAGATGGGTAACTAATTGGTTTACACCAGTTTGTATAATTTGACCAGTTTTGGGTGTTTGGGTGTGTTCGGTTTTTGTTTTTGTTTTTGTTTTTTCAGACAGGGTCTTGCTCTTTACCCAAGCTAAAATACAATGGTGTGATCATAGCTCACTACAGCCTTGATTTCTCCTTTGCTAGCTTTACAATGTAAGGCAAGTAGAAAGGCTTCCTTATGAAGATTTGCCTGATATCTTCACACTTTCCTCACTCATGTGATCCTCTCACCTCAGCCTCCCAAGTAGCTAGGACTACAGGTGTGCACCATCAGGCTTGGCTAATTTTTAATTACTTTGTAGAGATGGGGGTCTCACTACATTGCTCAGACTGGTCTTGAACTCCAGGCTTCAAGCAGTCATCTTGCCTCAGCCTCCTAAAGCGCTGGAATTACAGGCCTGAGCCACTGAGCCTGGCATAATTTGACCAGTTTGTGAAAAGGCTAGAGAATTGACTCCCAGACTTTTTGGTCTAAGGTCTCCTTTATACTCTGAAAAATTAAGGACCCTCAAAAGCTTTCTAAATTTTATATCTATTAATAGTTATGATATTAAAAATGAAAACGAAAATTTAAATATTAATTCATTAAAAAAAAACCTATTACATATTAACATAACTAACATTTTCAAAAAATTAATGAGTGTCATTGTTTTACATTTTACATCTTTTTAATGTTTGACTTAATTGAAGAAAGCTAGATTCTCATCTCTTTCTATATTCTGTCAGTTGTGATATCACACAGCATGTAACCTCTGAATTACTCCACTGTATACTCATGAGAGAGTATGAGTATGAGAGAATGAGAATGAAAAAGGCAAATAACATTTTAGTATTATTACAAAAACAGTTTTGATTTTATAGACCCCCTGAAATGGTCTTAAAGACCCCAGGGGTGCCCTTGCCACAGTTTGAGAACCATTGCACTGGAAAAAGTATTGGAGAACAGAGAGCAACCAGATTCATATTTATTGACTTGCTGGTTTCTAAAAAACTCAGAATATTGACTTGGATTTATACCTTAAATCCTGCAATCTCTGGCCTCTTCACATTTTTTATTCATTTATTCATTCATTCATTCTGTCATTGAACAAACATTTGAATGAGAGTAAGTGCCTGTTCTCACTGTACTTTACTCTGGAAATACAAAGGAATAAGACAGATCCTGACTTTGAACTCATGGTACAGAAATGGAAATAAACAAAAGTAGTATGATAGTATAGTATGAAAATAGAGCAGGGTCTTGTGGGAGCATAGAGGAGAAGGAAGTGTGAAGATGTCAGGCAAAGCTTCATAAGGAAGAATTTCTACTTAAGTTTTAAAACTAGCAAAGGAGAAAGGACACAGCAAGAAAAAGAGCTATTCAAGAGGTTCAGCAACATTGCTTTTATGAATGAAACTATATTTCACTATGGCTGTGCAAATGAGAAGTGGCAAAAGATTAACTTGGAAAAGCAACTAGAGTACAGATTGTGAAGGGCCTTATGAAGCCATTCTACATAATTTGGATATTATCCTTTGTATTGGTGCTTCCTGGAGTTTAGTATGGATTAAAAAAATCACTTAAGGAGTTTAATAAAACGTAGGATCCTTTATTCCAGATTCTGATTCTTTAGGTTTAGAATGCAGTTCAAGAATTCCTTAATTCAGCAAATATTTATTGAATTCTGACTGAATCCCAGTCAGAGTTTATGTACTGGGGCTGCAGCATCATGCAAAATAAGACATTTGGGGGTATTTTCAAGGAGTGTCCTTTAAGGCTACATTTTAAATTGTCCCAAGTAATTCTGATGTGAGTGGAACAGGAAAACCACATTAAGAAATGATGGCAAGATGCTGAAGGATTCTAAAAGCATGAGTGATATAATCAGATTTATGTTTTAAAAAAATCACTTTGCATGTATAAGATGGGCTAAACAGGTGTGTGACCAGAAACTGAAGAGTTAGGGAACTATTGAAGCAGTTCAAGAGCATTAATTTTTACGGTCTAAGTGAAGACACTGATAAAGAAGTTGTAGATAATTGGCAAGATTTAGAAAATATGTCTGAAATAGAATCAGAATACTGTAGTAGGATTTGGTGATCTGTTGGATTGGGAACAATGTTAATAGGT